TTGTTTCTCTTACATATATGGGTGTGTTGCCTGTGCGTGTGTCTGTGCACTGTGTGTGTGCAGCACCTGAGAAGGCCAGGAGAGGGCATCAGACCCACTAGAACTGGAGTTAAAGAGAAACCATATGAGTTCTGGGAACTAAATCTGGGTCTTCTGGAAGTACAGACAGTGCTCTTAACCACGAACCGTCTCTCCAGTCCCCATTACTCTTTATTTGTAGCTACACACAAATTCTTGGAAATAAAGCAAGCAGTGTCAATTTTTAGCCTGTTTAAAAAAGTATAGGTGGGCATGGTAGCACATCATTAATTGTCAGAAACCATCTAGGAAAGGCTAAACACATGAAAGTGAATTCTCTGGAGATGGCCCAGTGTTTTGCATGGCCGCAATGGGCAAACTCTGAATTGCAGAGCCTTCAGAGATTTCCTCCCAGGATTGCTTCTTGCTGCTGAGATGCCTTTCCTGTCTTTGTTACATAGCCTAACGATTCCTGGGCATTAGCCCACCCTATTGGGCAGATGTTTTGCAGACCAACCTGAAGATATACTCTTACATAGTAATGTTGCGTAGTTTATCTATACAAAACTTCAAAACTAATAAGACACTAGGCAGACAATTTATCTCAACAAAACCATGCTAACCCGTGACATAAAAATTATTGCTTTAAACTTACAATGAACTTATGGGGCTAGGGACAGATAATGAATGTTTAGTCAGATACTAGGCTTAATGAAAAGACACATAAACAATCCTGCTGTTGTTCTTTAAGTCATATCAATCTTTGAACTGAATTATAGCCTTCAACTTACTGTGAACTTACTGGAATGTAAAAGTACTTAGAAAATCATATAATCAGCCAGCGCAAGCAGCGGGGACCATGTTCCGACACAAGCTCACGGCCCTGGATTACCACAATCCATCAGGCTTCAACTGCAAAGATGAAACAGAATTTAGAAACTTTATCATTTGGCTTGAAGACCAGAAAATCAGACACTACAAGATTGAAGACAGAGGTAACTTGAGAAACATCCACAGCAGTGACTGGCCCAAGTTCTTTGAAAAGTATCTCAGAGATGTTAACTGTCCTTTCAAGATTCAGGATCGGCAAGAAGCAATTGACTGGCTTCTTGGTTTAGCTGTTAGACTTGAATATGGAGATAATGCAGAAAAATACAAGGATTTAGTACCTGATAACAAGAAAAATACAACGAAGCTAAAAATGCAGAGCCATTGATCAACTTGGACATAAATAACCCTGATTTTAAGGCTGGTGTCATGGCTCTGGCTAACCTCCTTCAGATCCAGTCAGCATCGTAATGACGACTTGGCAATGCTTAAGGCAATTCGCAATTTGGTTCAGGACCATCTAACACAGGATGCAGTTGCTAAAGCAAATCAAACAAAAGAGGGCTTACCTGTTGCTTTAGACAAGCAAATTCTTGGCTTTTACACAGGCGATGCAGTTCTTAATGAAGCTGCTCAAATCCTGCGGTTGCTGCACATGGAAGAGCTCAGAGAGCTACAGACGAAAATTAATGAAGCCATAGTAGCTGTTCAGGCCATCATTGCTGATCCAAAGACAGACCACAGACTGGGGAAAGTTGGAAGATGAGCACATGAGGATGTCAGCTTCTCACCTGCTTAGTGATGGGAACGTTACACCGGCGTGTGCTGGGAAATCAGATATCACACTTTCAAGGGAGAATCCCAGGAGATTGACCATGTTCTAGAGATTCACCACCACTGCTTTTTTCTTTAATAAAGTTGGGGAAGTAAAAGGCAAAAAAAAAAAAAGCCGGGCAGTGGGGTCGCACGCCTTTAATCCCAGCACTTGGGAGGCAGAGGCAGGCAGATTTCTGAGTTCGAGGCCAGCCTGATCTACAGAGTGAGTTCCAGGACAGCCAGAGATATACAGAGAAACCCTGTCTCGAAAAACCAAAGAGAGAGAGAGAGAGAGAGAGAGAGAGAGAGAGAGAGAGAGAGAGAGAGAGAGAGAAAATCATATAATCAATTATCCTGTTGTGTTTCACCTGATAGTTGTAATTTTTTAAGAGACAGTATATATACAAGAAAACAAAAACTAAAGGTTGTTGTTTTTTTTCTGCTTCATCCAGAATGAGTGTTTTCTACGTGTGTGAATTTTCTTGTACTTCTTTTCTTTTCACAAGGAGTTAACAAGTTCCAAGCATCTCACCTGGTCCTTGAGCCAGAGAGAAAAAAGAGCTCTATCAATTAAGCCTTTTTCTTCTTAATCCTCTCCTACTGCCAGCGTAAAATAGTAAGGAAAAAGAAACCAGTGCTTATTAACACAAAATAGTAAGAGATAGTTAGCCACAAAAATAGAGTTCCAAGGCCAGAGCACATCTGACCTCGGCTGATGCTGTGCCCCACTTCAGCTTTTTCCTCTAAAGACCAGGGCAGGCCCCAGACATTTAATCCTCACAGCACTTGGGAGGCATAGACAGGCCTCTGTGAATTCAAGATTAGCTTGGTATATACAGTAAGTTCTAGACCAGTCAGAGCTACCTAATATGACCATGTCTCAAAAATATTTTAAAAAAAAAAAAGCCCCCAAACAAAAAACAAAACCCATAAGTATAAGGAAAGACTAGAGTGATGTTCTCATTGTATGTGCGCTATGAACCTGTGTGTGTTCTGGTGGAGGTGGAGGTCAATGCTGCGTGTCTTCCGACAGGGTCTTTTACCAGTTCAGTTAGGCTGGCTGGCCGGCCAGCCCTGGAGATCCTCCTGCCTCTGCCTCCCCAGCACTGGGATTTCAGTCAAGTAGTGCCCTGCCGCCCCTTCCTCCCCCACAACCCTCCAGGGGATCACACCCAGAACCTCAGGACTATACAATGAACACTTTATGATGAGCCACCTTCCCTTCCACTCCCTAACTTTAACGTTATTTTGAATACATCTGGTATTAAAGCATAATAGTTTATCCAAATTTATGTTTGACCCAAGTCTATGTTAGCATTACCAGAAGGCAGCAGTGGGTCAGCTCAGTGGGTAAGATCGCATGCCTCCGCAAACCTGGTGACCTGAGTTTGATCCCAGAACCAACAGTGAAGGAAAAACAGACTCTGCAGAGATGTCCTCTGACTCCGTAACAGTGCACATATGCAAATGCACAAAATACTAAGTAAAAAAATGAGTTACAGCAGGCAAAATTTATAGACTCAAACAACAACAACTATGGTAAAGACCTTTTACAATTAAAATTAATATATCTTCAATTTTAAGTGCCTTTCAAAATTTTTCTATTTATTAAATTTTCTATTTTAGGAAATAAAACTGATCTTAACTTCAATATAGGAAAGAAAATAAGTATCCTCAAGCTCACTTCCTTTTGTTTGAGACAGGGTCTCACTATGTGTTCTTGGTGGCATGGAACTCAGAGTCCCCAGATTAAGGAAAGGCAGCTTGACGGGGTCAGGATAAATGCCCTATCTCTGAAGTCCTGCCCCTGCCTGACAAACAGATATGGAGACACACGCCAACTGTTACAGTGTGGTGTGAGGAGGTAGGTTTTCCACGATCCAAAGGGCCTTACTGTACTGCCAAAGGCAAGAGGTGTAGTCTTATGTAGGAAAACTCTACTAAATAAGGTTGAAATCTACCGTTGTCCAGATAGCTTTCCGGAGCTCCCTGTATAATGCAAGACTCCCTTTATTGACAGGGCTTCCCCTTCTCTGACTTCATCTTGGGAATTCAAATACCCTACCACACACCTCTACCTGCAGAAAGTCACACAGCCTTAGCGAGAGTACAGGTTCAACTTTCTTTCCTGATAAGAACATCCTGGATGTTCCTACAGGCAGTCTCCAAGAACTATATAAGCCTTGCATCACTCTGGGTAAAGTTGATCTGGCTCCCTGCATCTGGCTCTAGTGTGTCTTCTTCACTGTACATACTCACAGGGCTTCTGATGCCCCCACCCCCATCGTCTCTGCTCCCTTTGCCCTCATGGACCAGTACCAGCTGATGCTCCCCAAGGGCAGAGGGTCACAGCCTTGTCTAGAAGAGACCCTGGCTTACTTGTAACATTATTATCTGAAGCAAGTCCTTCCACATATGTGGAGGAGAAAGATCATATAACCCATATGTACACTATATGACAGCAGCATATTTCATCCTGCACTGAGGTAAAGATAAACTTTTAGTAGGCACTGGGTGGGAATCACTTCGGCTATCCTGAGTATTAACAGCAGCTTTCCTCTCGGGTGTTCAGTTGTAGGAAGAGCCAGCTAGCCTCAGTGTGCATGCTGCATGCAGATAACGGACTCACGGAATTCTCATAATTCAAGCTGTGTGAGAATTGGTCAACGGCTGTTTGTCAGAAGAAAATGGCCACAAATGTCCTTTTTCAGACCATGGCCAGGGTTAATCTAGGTCAGCCTGTCTGTCCTCATGATATACACCAAACAAGAGGAGAGGCCTTGCCCTCCCCAGATGTTTGATTCAAATCGGTAAATCCTCCAGGGACTTAGTACTCGGTAAAAGACAGAAAGCAGCAGCTCATGCTCGGGAACCCCACCCACGCACCCACCCCCCAGACCCCCCACTGCCGGGGACTGTCACTCTACTTCCAGGCCAAGGGAAGGATCTTAAAACTTGACTGAAAATTAAAAGGGGCAACCATGTTTCTGCAATGTGAACAGTTTCATTCAGAGGTAACTAGACATGCCCTGTGCTGGGGGTGACGCTCTGTGTATTCAGCCCGCAGGCCTTTTCAGTGGACTCAATAAACAGGAAGGGGAGATGAACAGAGACAAACATTGAGGCTTGGGATACAGAGCAGTGACAATATACGCAGGTCTGATCCTCAGTACCGCACACAGACACACAGACAGATACACACACACACACAGACATGCACACACACAGGCAGACACACACAGACACATACTGATGCAGACACACACACACAAAGATACAGACACACACACACTTTTCCAAGGTAAGATGAAAATGTATAAAATAACTGAACATAAAGTTTTCAATCTCCTTTTAATATTACTTAACATAAGAAAAATAAGAACTCTTAGATATTGCTAGCCTTCTGGGGTGTTACAAAATGGGTATTTCAAAGAAGAACAACTCTCACTGTTTAGCAGAGGAAATAGAACCTTGGAATTTACACAGCAGAGCGTAAAGATTGGCCACCTCCAATCCAGAGCTGGCCCTAGTGCTCAAGTTCACAACGCATCCTGGAGTCATCAGCAGCAGAATCTTCATTTGTCTCTGGAGAGATCTGAATGAAAAGAGAAGTGACTTCCACCCGCAGTCTATAGAAATGTTTTAGGAAAATACTTTCAGGTCTACATATAACCTAGAATTTCAGCTGGATCCTGAGAGCTGGTCTTCAGCACGTGGGGGTCGGCCGCTCTCCTCTAGTTCTGCAGGTGCTGGTGCCCTAGCTGCTAACAGCCACGAAGAGCCGGCTCTGCTGCTTAGATGAGGTCTTTCAGCTCAGCATCAGTCAGCTCGTTCACCTCCATGATCTTCTCTAAGTGCTCCATGTACCGGCTGTGATCATGAAGGAAGTGCGGGACTCGCATGTTTTCAGTAACGGCCAATTCTTTTAAGCGATCCACATCTTCGTAAGATACCTGGGGGGGAGGGGGGAAGAAAAGGAATTGTTTTTGCAACTACAAGTGACATTTGGAGGGGATCAAGAACATTAAATGAGAATGTGTGGATATAAAGCCAGGCACGGCGGCTCACATCTTTAACCCCAGCACTTGGGAACTTGGAGGCAGAGATAGATGGCTATCTGTGAGTTTGGGGCCAACCTGGACTACATAGTGAAACCCTGTATCAAAACCAAAACCAACAAAAGTGGTTACTTACTTTCCTTTACTACATTAATAAATGAAATATTATTTTTATGGCCTCTCATAACTAAACACAAAAAAGTCAGTATCTGACTTCACACCCTGTCTTGGAACTAAATCAGTCTGTGTGAACATTAGGCAGTAAGCTTCCTGTGTGTTCACAGTAGACTTTGACCTTTTTGGTGCTACTGAGAATCCAACTTTGGCCTGAGCATGCTAGGCAAGTACTCTACCACTAAGCTACATACGCAGGTAGGGGAGACTTTAAACTCAAATAAATGTCTTAATTAAATCTAAATAAAAGATATCAAGATTAAATCTGAAGAAGGAACACTCTTACATGCTGGCTTCCTGATTCTGTTTATTAAGCTGGCAGACATAATTTGTTAGATTCTCTTGCTTTAACTTTGAATTTTTCTAAGCACTTAAAAACCATTGTGAGCGCTCCCTGTTGGCCGGAGGTGCTCTGCTGGGGAGGAACTGTCCCCATGCCTCACTCAGTTGTAGACTCAGTGATTCGCCCACTGTGGCAGCACGGGCAAGCCTTATAGGGATGGCCAACTCCCTCTTGGTCAGGATCCAGGCTCTGTCCATAGGAGAGAATTTTGTAAAGGAACTGTAAACCTGGCCCCAAGCCTGTGGTTGAGGAGGTCATAGCCCTAGCTGGGAAGCTACTGTTGGTGTTTGGTAAAGGAAGTGGGGTTCCTACCAGATCACCTTCTGAATAACCATGTTCATGCCCACAGGTGACCCCTGCTCACAGCTGAGGCCAGAGCAGATTCCTTCTACAGTGGGCAGGAGGACATACATAGACTCATAACCGGTCAAAGTGTCAAGAAGTAAGTGACATTTGAACAGGCAGCCATAAATGGGCCATCTATGTCACTCTCCAGACTTGGAAGATGGAAGAAGGGTCAGAAAGAATGCAACAGCTAGTGGTGTGGGGTGCTGAGTTCTGGGCTGAATTCACAGCAGCTATGATGACCTAGGTATGACCTGAGGCTGAAGGGGAGGCTCACGAGCCCTCACCTCCACTCCCTAACTTGGAAGCAGTTAATGGTTGATGGCAAAGGAGACATTTTGCTTGGTAATGTTGCCACTGGTGGGCTGCCTGTGTGTCTATAGTCAACTCCCCTGACCCCCGACTCCCATAACTGTAAAGAAACTTGAGTCATTAAAAGGCATGAAGTCAGGAACACTAGCAAACACTTTAATCCCAGCACTTGGAAAGCAGACACAGGCAGATCTCTGAGTTCAGGGCCAGCCTGGTCTACACAGGGCTGCACAGACCTGTGCAGGGGCATATGAGAGACCCTGTCTCAAAACAAACAAACCCATGAAAAGGGAAAACTAGTGGAGAAGAGAAAAATTTTTACAATTCTATGTTATTTTTACCTTTAAATTCTAAATCAAGGCTGATTTTATTTATTTATTTTTGAGACAGGGTCTCACTGTGTAGCCCTGTCTGTCCTAGAACTCAGTATGTAGTTCATGTTGGCCTTGAATTCAGAGATCTCCCTGTCTCTGCCACCTGACTGCTGAGATAAAGGTGTGTACCACTAAGCCTGGTTTGGTATGCTAATTTTAAATAGCCCATGTTCTGATCACCAGTCTTCCAGGGTTGGCAGGAAATCTTTTTGAGAAGAAACCATAGTCATATTGTACTTCCATCTTAATGATTTTTAATGTTTATATTATCAAAGTTACTTATTTGTACCTCTAAATGTAATAGAAGTAGGTTTTCCACTTATGACAGACATGATTAAAATATACAAGTGTATCTTGTCCTGTCACAGCTGGAAGATACTGTGCTGTTTACACACTTAAGGTTGATGGCAGCCCTGCTTTAACTAAGTCTAATGGCAACTTAAAAGACACATTGACTATTTAGTGGGGCTGGGTTTCTGGAAGAGACAATGGAAGATCACCAGAAGGTCAGAGCATGACCTGGCAGTCTCACTGCGGAGTCAGCACTCCAACCCAAAGGGCAACATTTTAAAAACAACATTGAATCATTTAACATCTCTGTCATATTTTGGTAATTTTTATCACAATATTTTAAACCTTTTCATCATTATTAAACTTGATTAAGGCGATGTGTGGTCAGTGATCTTTGATGTTCCTACTGTATTTAATTTGTATCACAAACTGCTCATCTCAGACAGTGACCTCATGAGCTCTTGAGGTGGAATGTCACTGTCCCCATTTTGTTCCTTCTCTTCAGGCCCCCAGCTCCCCTGATACCACAGTATAGAGCCAATAAATCACCTTACAATGCCCTCTGAGGAAAGACTCAAAGCCCTCTTCCCTTTAAATAAAAGACAAGAGATGAGTAGACACAGTAAAAAGTGAATGCCAAAAGGTGACAGAAGCCAAAATGTACAGCTCTGTGCCAAACGGCCAAGGTGTGACTGCAGGAAATGAAACATGCTAGTCCGTGGACACAGAAAGGAAGAGAGGGTCACACAGCCTCACTGCTGGCAGGGAAATGGTGTAGTGGTTTGGAGAGATCACAGTCCCTCAGGCAGAGTCTAATCCAGAGCAAAGCCCTACACTCTGTAATTCTGAGACCTGCAGAAGCCAAGGGCTAAGGGAAGGACTTCTGGCCAGAACACACAGTGCAGGCGAAGCAGCAAGGGCAGAGGCGAGGGCCACAGCACGCTCTTCGGAGTTCAAGGCCAGCCAGGTCTATACAGTGAGTCCTGGGCCAACAGGGCTACATAGTGAGATCATGCCTCAAAAACAAATAAAATCAGAGCGTGACAGACAGATAGCCTCCCTTGTTAGGGGTGAACGTAGCTGGTGACTTTGAGTGAAGCCAATGCTAATTAACTGTTCCCAAAGTCCTAGCGCCCTGAGAATGATGCTAAAATCTACTCCGCCTGTGCTCAGTAAATGGAGTGGCAGGGGCTAGATAACAATACGCCTGTTTGCAACAGAGCTTGTGAAATATATACGGATTTTTAACTTTTTCAAGAATGTGCTTATGTGTTTGCCTGTATGTATGTATGTCCCTGCTGCTTTTAGAGATCAGAAGAGGGTTTTGGATCCCCTGAAACTGCAGTTACAATTGGTTATGAGCCGTCATATGGGTCCTGGGAATCAAACCTTGGTCCTCTGCCAGAGCTGCAAATACAGTTAACCACTGATTCATCCTCCAGCCTCCCAAATGCATTTAAAGAGTTACTGTGTGTGTGCCTGTGCAGATGTGCATGTGTATGCAGATGTGCCTGTGCAGATGTGCATGTGTATGCAGATGCCTGCTGAGGCCAGAAAGAAGCATGGGTCCTCTGAAGTAGGAGCTTCGTGTGGCTGTGGCTACACCACGTGGGGTGCTCAGAACCAAGCTCAGGTCCTGTGCAAGGACAGCAAATGCTCTTACACCACTGAGTCATCTCCCTAGGTCCCTGGGTTCTGGAATCTTTGAAGTCCACTGTTAAGACTTGTTGCTTAGAAAGGATTCTTTTAAAACGTCAGTGTTTACTGACAAAGTACCTAGTCACTGGAGTCCTTGATGGCCACAGTGAGATTTGTACTGTATTTTAGTTTTATACTGAATTGATGATATGATAACTCTTTTTGGAAATGGTATGGTCATGTTAGAGCATAGCCTTGTTCACAGGGGAGCTCAAAAACGCCATGTGTCATAGTTATAGCTTCCTTTCAAACACTCTTGCCTACTCTTGGAAAGGATCTTGAGATGGAGATTATCCTGGGTGAAATAATATGATGGTTTTTAGAAAAAGACGCACATATAAATAAAGAAAATTTCCAAATCATCTATTCCTGTGTCTCTCACTGATCACAGAGAACATTTCCTTCTATTGTCACAAAAAGAAACCTGTTTCAGCAGCAACAGAGTAACACGGTTTGGCCTTGAGTTGCTTCCCTGCCATCTGGCCCACTGTTCACGCACCTTGCCCAGGGCAGTCAGCAGATGAAAGTCTATGGACTCTCTGAATCGAAGGATTTGAAGGATTCCATCCAAGTACACCTGGTCTTTACTGAAACACCCTGGAAGAACCAGAACAATGTTTACTTTCTTTCTCTTTAGACGGATATTTTAAAATATCCTTCCCAGCCCTGGTGTTTACCTTCTAAAGTTTATAGAAATACAAAATTAGATGCTAACCATTCTCTTTAACCTAGGAACAGCTCTGTATTTAAAACAGTCTAGTATTTATTATTTGATACTGGGTCTCACTCACTGTGTAGCTCTAGCTGTCCTGGCACTCACTATGTAGACTAGTCTAGCTTTGAACTCACAGGGATCCACATCCCTTGTGTCATGCTAGGATCAAAGCATGGGCCACCAGGCCGAGCCCATGTTAACTGTCATTCAGTTACCTTCACAACTTAAAATGTAGGATCTCGGAAAAGTAACAGAATAGTACTGATAGTACAGGGTCCAGTACTTTGCCTGAAGAACTCCCTTTAACTGCTTTTTCTTAACTAAAATGACATCTTCCCCCAAATTAAAGACCTATGTTTAAAGTCCACGATATACAAATATCACCCCCCACACACCCAAGTAACCATGAGGGTAAATCCTTGGTGTGAGAGGGACTGGGGTGAGAGGGAGGACGTAGCAAGGGCAATGTGGTGATGTGGGGTTTTTAAATGTCCTCTTTTCCTTGATATGCTTTGAACAATAGTCCTGCCCCTAGTGCCTTTATAAGGAAGGATTCTGACCCTGGACATGATGGCACATACCTGTGATCCCGGGGATTTGGGAGGCTGAGGCAAAAGGATCTTGAGATGGAGATTATCCTGGGTGAAATAATATGATACTGTTTTGGTTGATTTTGTTTGTTGTTTGTTTTGGTTTTTGTTTTTTAAGATTTATTTATTATGGCCAGGCAGTGGTGGTGCATGCCTTTAATCCAAGCACTTGGGAGGCAGAGGCAGGTGGATTTCTGAGTTCGAGGCCAGCCTGGTCTACAGAGTGAGTTCCAGGACAGCCCAGGCTATAAAGAGAAACCCTGTCTCGAAAAACCAAAAAAAAAAAAAAAAAAAAAAAGATGTCCTTATTATGTACCAAGTGTTCTGCCTGCATGTATGCCTGCAGGCCAGAAGAGGGCAGCACATATCATTATAGATGGTTATGACCAAGTGGTTGCTGGGAATTGAATTCAAGAAGAGCAGTCAGTGCTCTTAACCTCTGAGCCATCTCTCCAGCCTCAGCCTCAGATCAGAGGTTTCAGGCTCAGGAATGATCTCAAGGCTGTAAAGTGTTTGCCTCCCAGGCACAAGGACCTGAGTTCCCATCTCCATCTCCTGAGGGATATGATTACAGGCATGTGTACTATGCCCAGCTAAAGCTATAGCTTAATGGTTTAAAAACAGTAAAGCCCAGACTCATCTACACAGGGAGTTCCTAGTCAGCCAGGGCTACCATGTGAGACCTTGTCCCCAAAACAAAACAAAAAGCCTAACACGATGTGTGTAGCTCAGTTGGTATAGTGCTTGCCAAGGATGGGGCAGCCCTGACTTGGAAGCCCAGCACTGCACAACCCTGGGACAGTGGTGCACATCTGTATTCTAGAGGTAGACGTAAAAGGATCAGCAAGTCTGAAGACACCCTGGACTACCAAACTTTGTCTTAGAAAACCAGACAAACAAACAAAGTAACCGCTGGGCGTGGTGGTGAACTACTTTAATCCCAGCACTCAGGAGGCTGAGGCAGGTCTTGGTGGGAGGGGCAGGAAGGGGAGAAAACAACCAACCAAAGAACCAACCAAACTACACACACACATACAGACACACACACACACACAGACACACACACACACACACAGACACACACT